TATGAAAGATTTATCCAATAGTAATAAAAAAAAATCTTGATTATCAAGCTGTTTGTCATGACAGTATTATTGTAACCCTTGAATAAACACAAATGCAGGTCTGTGAAATAAATAAAACACTTTATAGTCATGAATAAACACACCTAGCTGCTCGTTTGTTAAGTACCTCTAGCTTCAGCTAATCCAGTCACATACAAGAGTTCTGACCTTAACTTTCCCTTAATGATCAGTTTTAGTTGTCTGCATGGTTATTCTGAAGGTTTTTCGTGTTGTTGAGCTGTACTCTTTTGTACTGAATTGCAATGAGTGGAAATGCTGTACCTTAAGCATCATGCCTGGTTTCCTCAGTGAATATTTCTTTGGCAGATCTTTCAGTATATCCTGAGTTCTCTCCAGGTTTCCTTTCATGTGACACTTGAATTGTTGGACGGGGCTGTTGTCTGCTGAGTTAATGTTGCTGCCGTCAGGAAGCAGCTGCTTCTTCCAGCGGCTGTACTGAGCTCTGGCTGCTTGGAGCTGCTCCTGCTGGAGACGATCTCCTGAGGATCAACAGCGCACACGCTTAACTCTGTGGATCAACAACTCCAAAGAGTTCATCCTGTAAACTTCATACAGCTGATAAACTTAACAGGCGTGGTGTGGTTTTAGCTTACAGCAGAGTTGGAAAAATATAACCTGGCACACATTAACGAGTAACTCTGTACACTGCTGAGATCAATTAAGCTTCTGCCCGACCAAATTTATTCTCCAGCTCAGTCTGGGAGTGTGTTACTCAGCAGCAAAGACTTCTACTGGCTTAAATATCTGCCATCTGGAGCTTCAATCAACATGGATCAATACTGGCCTTTAGTACAGTGAAAAAGCTTGCAGCGTAGACAGACATAGGAAAATCCACTCTTAGATATTCTGTGCTTTGCTAGATGTTGGCTTTGAGACTATAGGCTGTAACTGTCACATGATGTATGCTCCCATGTTTTTGTCTGCTTTTAAAAATGAAGCTGAGCCTAGTCTTCTCATGAAGTTGCAGACAAACTGCAATAAAGTTGCAGACAAACAGTTCGTGAGTGGAGAAAAGTAAAAGTGCATCACAGCTCCACTGAAGACTTGACAGACTGAAAAAAACAACATTTCAACCCCATCAGAAGTACAACAAGAGGCCCAAACTGTGACATTATTACACGCACTTTTGTGAATTCAACTAAACTTCATATGGTCTTCTGACAATGTGTTTCTCTGTCTCACTTAATATTAAAGCATTTTTGGACATATGTATTTGAAGTAGGAGAGCTATCCCTGATCTGCACTTACATATCTAATTCACAGTGTCCCTGAACAAAACACATACATGAAATGTAAGCACACCGTAAGTCTCATTAAATGTTACCAAACATGTAACTCACTCGAGATCATAACTCATCTCATAGTGCTGAAATCTAAGAAATGTGTTTTTTGTTAGTTGGACAGATCACAGATCTGCCTTTGTGCCACAGGAAAATAGTTCCATGGTGGAGTTACATCTGAAAGGAAAACTGTCTATTGAAAATGCATTAAAGATGTTGCCCTCTGTTGTGAATGTTTAAAACCTTATTGGAGTGCTGTGTTGTGGTTTTTGTGAACTGCTTTCATTTGGCGTTTGTTTATTTCTGTCTGACAACCTGCTGGCATGCCGGGATACATCATCCACTGGAACCACTGTGTCTAATTTCCAACTAATATAAAAAAATAATATTTAATCATTATTATGTTCATATAAATAGGTCACTTACTACATACTTTTTTCCTTAAACTAATTCTTGGGTGCTTTGATTTGATCAGAATCAGGAAAATCAATGTAGCACTACGTCAGCAGTACAGCTTTAAATGAAACCTTGTGGTTTCATGACATGCTTGTATACTGAGTTAGTGTCTGCATCACTTGTGAACTAAAGAATTGTGGGATTTTTCACCTTTCTGAAAGGTCAAAAAGGACCCTCTTACACAAATAAAATAGATAAACTACTCT